GATCTTAGTCTTTAACCAAATCGGAATGTACTGCATAATCGGCCCTCTAATAGACCTTTGGGTCTGGTGGACTTTTAAGCCAGACTAGAAAATCATTTATCTACTTAAAACTAGTGGTAATCGCAGATTAGGAACTGCGTTCGAGCTTTTTTAGGTTTACTGTCAAATGTGACGTTATTTCCTAATAAACTGATGCTGCAAAACGCTTCCTATATGTTTTTTTTTAAAAAAAGAAACAAAACAAAGCAAAACGACTACAAAAAAAAAAAAGAAAAAAGTCTCAAAGGGCAGGAGTGGAACCCGAGACATTCGACGTCAACAGAGTCGACGTGTATAAAGAGCATCGCATTATGCATTGCTCCACGCAACCAAATTGCTAAGACTATAGGTTAAATTAATTAATTTTAACATTTTTGTGCACACGAGATAAATTAAAAAAAAAAAAATGCACTTTTTATTTGAGTGTCAATGTATTTAGCACGAAAGTGCTAATTGGGGACACTATTTTTACGTCTCCTAATGGAGACGGGACCGCCATTTTACGTGGTCATCCGAGCCAAGCGAAGGTCTCACCGCTTGTAGTGCAAAGGAAGTACCTTCATTTCTCAGTCATTTTAAGACCCTGAGTAATGGTCCGGTCCCGGGAATCGAACCCGCGACCTCCCGCTCTGCATTCAAACGCTCTACCGACTGAGCTAATCCTGCCACGGTTAAATTATTCAAAATGGCGCAGAAAATGCAGACGTACGAGTACTACAAAAGGTCACTCTTTAGTACCACAAGAATCCCAAGATTATGTGTTGCGTTCTCCTTACGTCGAACGCAACAAGAGAAAATAATGGACCAGAGATGGAATCTTCGGGCGTTGGCTGAGTTATTTTAACAGGATGTAATGGAACGAAAGCCTAATTCCTGAGACGTCCGCAAATTTTTATCTATGGTTTAAAACGTCATCAAGTCCACTGGCGACTGACTGCTTCACAACAAACAATGCAGAATATTTTAATGGCGACTGTTGAATTCTAAGACCAAACAAAAGTTTGCGGACCTCTGCGAAAACTTATTTCCGATTAATTTCAAGTGTTTCATTGGTCTAAAAGTAACTTTGGTGAAATTCTCATCTCCTAAGGGCTAGAATGGGCGTTTCTTTCTCTGTCCATTTATTCTGTCTTGCTTAAAACAATTACCCTGCAAAAGGATTTAAGTTATACTTCATTTAATAACCGACCCTTCATCATACCTTCTTTAAAACTCCTGTTCCCAAGTTCTTGAATTTCTTCTACACTCAGCTTAATTCCAATAAAGTTTAGGTTGCTTATAAAGAACCCTTTCGTGTTGGATGTGGAGCCAAGCTTCAGACGCGTGTTCCGGTCTTGATCCACATAACTTTGTTCCGATACCCACAGATTGTCTACTAGTGTGCCATTATAATTTTGATAGAGGGCTACGTTGGTTATTATTCCGTAAGCAAAAGTAAAAACTATTTGAATCCAAGAATTCCGAGCCGCCAGTTCGCTGAACGCGCCACTACCGGGGACTGTCACTTCAGCACTGCCAGAATAGGGAGAAATCCTGGAAATCTCAAATGACCAGCCATACTCGTACTCATCATCAGCACGCAAGCCCGAATTCAGGACCTTTAGATCTTTATCGGCTCCAGTTTTAAAGAGAAATGACAATGTGAAATTCTGACAGAGAAATGGATTACTGATGCACGTACCAGCAAAGTCACCAAGGTCGACTTCTTCTCCTGCAGGCACAAACAGAGCCTGGATGCCATCTTCCACCTGAGTTCTGATCCCATTTGGGATTTTCTTGCTTTTGAAAGATTTGTTGGCTGCTTGGTCGTAACCATACAATGCCTGGTTAGCAATTGGATAAAAAGGCCAGGAGTAATTAGCTGTTGAATGACGAAAACAATCTAGTCAGTGGGTCAGTCAATCTGGTCAGTCACTTATCTCAGTTCAGTAACATTTACCGTAAAATTCCGAAAATAAGCCCCTCCATGTATAAGCCCCTCCAAATATAAGCTACACAAAATCGTAACACAAAAAAAACCCTCCGTGAAATCACCCCTCCGACTATAAGGCCCCCCCCCCCCGGGGGGGCTTGTACTTGGAAAACTGCCCTCAAACACAAAGTAAAATAAAGCAGAAGCGGTAAATTTCCTTCCAACTATAAGCTAGCCCAATCGATTTTGAAACGCAAATTTCCCTCCGTAGATAAGCCCCTCAAAAAGGGCCTTTGAAAAATATAAGCCCCGGGGCTTATTTTCGGAATTTTACGGTATCTTTTAATGTACCTTATTAGAACTGTTAGAGGGTCTCTTTAGGCCAGCTAGAAGACTTGACACTTCTAGAAGCGTCCTTTTTCGCTATGGAACTTGACAAATCACTTGTGAATGACAAGATAGTGTAAATGACAAAATTACGGCTTCGTGTGGAAAAAATATGCCTTTCTCCCAAACATTAAATCAAACTAATAGGCAACGACAATTACCTTTCAAAAACGTTTAGGCCAACAAGTTTTCAAAAAACACAGTTGTAATCAGTTTCAATCTTTTTCAGGTTTGTTCATCCGGCTTCCGTCCATCTATGTTTGCTATGTAATTATACCTTGTTTTCAATGTTTAAGCACCTGGGTTATTTTTACTGATGTTACAATCAGGTTGGCGACTGTTGCGGGTTCCCACGGTTTGAATTTTGATAAATTTCGTGACTCATCTTATTTTTACACGGGACGATTCGCAACGACGATTTTTAGAGCAACACGGCGTCGCAACGCTGTGTTTTAACCATTCGAAACATCGTCGCAACAATGTTTCCACGCTGTGTTGCGCTAAAAATCGTCGTTGCGAATCGTCTCTACGGGGGGTGACAGCTCTAACAAGGGCTGTTTCGGGAGAAAAACAAATTTATTCCGGGAATCTGGAGATTTTGCCGGGAATCGGGAAACCTGGGAAATTTTTCGGGAAATATGAGATATTTTCGGGGCATTGAGCAAAGATTTGATATTACATGTTATCAAACAATATATATACAGAGATATGTACCCAGTGTATGCGCTGTGTTCTATCTATTTTGACACTTGAAAACGGCTGAACTCCCCATGATATGAAAAGACCAATCAGCAACGTTTCCAACTAAAATAGCATGAAGTTCAAGTGCAACTGACCGCGTGCAATCCCCAGCGGATTGACACAAGAACCGTACCGGTGCAAGGCACATACTATCAGTTCACACCAGATCCCATCATTCATTAGTTCAGGAGTATTTTTACGCTGCTCGTTAACGAGTTTTAA